CTCTCATACTCTCCTAGAGAATTATTTTACACCTTCTCTTCATAACTCCAACATCTTCCTCATCCATGCATTCTCATTAAGAAAACAGATAAAACACAAATGCTTCTGCCTCCAGCTACCTATTTTTCCACTCTCTTTTACTCAAAATAATTGTTTGTTCAATTGTCTCCAACTTCTCTACTCCCGTACTTTCTTAAACCAACCCTAATCAGGCTTTTGCCCCCATTCTTCAAGGTCACCAAGGAACTCCACATTACTAAAATCAATGGCCAATGACTGACCCTCAGTTTGTTTGGCAGTAGTTTCTGTAACAGATGACCACTACCATGAAACACTCTTTTCAGTTAGCATCCAGGACTCCACCTCTCCCGGGTTTCCTGTCTCACTGACCACCTCTTTCCAGCTTCCTTTTCTGGTTCATCCTCATTATTCCCAACAGCTTAATGTTAGCATACCCTAGAGTGGCCTTAGTCCTTTTCTTTCTCCACATTTAACTTCCGTGGTAATCACATCCAGTCTCACGGTGTTAATACCATCCACATACTAGTGACACCCAAATTTATATCTCCAGCCCAGATAATTCCTGTTTGCCAGACTCATACTCAACTGTTTCCTTAATATCGCCACTTGGATGTCTGTCTAAAAGGCATTTCAAACATATGTCCAAAATAAACTCTGTTCTTCACCACCTTAACTCTAAAAAGCAGTTAATTACAATAGACCTAGAAGAGCCAGGAATACTGGAACAATACACTCCAGAATAAATATTTTTAAAGATTATCAGCTTCTTAAAGTAAAAAGCCATATTGTAATCATCTGTTTATTCTCCATGGTGCCTGCACATAAGTTATTTAATACATTCTTTTAAATGAACACTTCATTTATATGTAGCTAAATTTCAATTCTCCAGAAAAGAATATTTGAAAGCAGAATATTCTAGAGCAGAGAGACCACCAACAATAAGTTTTGTTGTTGTCGTTTTTAGCAATGGTTTTTCAATAATTATGACATAACATCAGAAGGAAAAAAATGTATTTGAATATCAAAGCTTCTAAGTAAAGATAAGTTTAGCTTCTTGAAGAAACTTATGTTACCTAAATATTAATAAATACTTAAGAATGTCAGTAGAGGGAATCATATATCTGTACTTTTTAAATAAGAGTGAAAAGGTCAGTTTTTTTTAAGTAACTGCTAGCAATAGATTTTTTAAAAGTAACTGCAAAATATCACATTTTAAAAATTTATTCACTAAGATTATTTAAAAAGTATTTTTTGAAAAGTTAGTCCTAGAGAAACTAAGATGGCGGCATAGGTAAACACCTGAAATTGCTGCCTCGCAAAACCACTTCAAAAATATAACTAAAAGACAAAACGGACATCATCCAGAACCACAGGAAGGCTGGCTGAGTGGAAATTCTACAACTAGAAGGAAAGAGAAAAGCACACTGAGACCCAGAGAAGGTGCGGAAGTAAAGTGCAGAGGTATGGAGGCGCGCGCTCGGAAAGGGCTGGCAACAGAGGGACGCAGTTATCTTTTTCAATCGGGAGGGAGTCACAAGCTCCCGGCTGCTCTCAACTCCAGTTCCAGGAGAGTCTCTGGGGACCCAGACTCATATGGAGAGAAACTGGACTGCCTGGCAGTGGGTGGAACTGGAGGGCGGCTTTCTCTCAGAGGTGCTTGCAGCGATTACCAGGGGACACTGAGACCCGGGGCCTCTTAGGGCAGGGCTGAGGATCAGCCATAGCTGTTTGCTCCGCCCTGTTGATTCCCTGAGACCCCGCCCCACCCAAGCTGTGCACAGAGGCTTTTGCATATGAATGACCTGGCCCTTTGCAATCTAAAATTATCTAACAAGCTGCAGCTGGGACAGAGAGACCCAGAACATCCAAAAGAAGGCCCAAGGCCCCACAGCAGCTTGCACTGCTTCACAGCTGGACCTCATATGGACACCTCCAAACCCCAAACAAAGAAGAGGAATCTGCAGATCTCTCCATAGCTCCTGCTGGGTAGCCTCAGGCAGAGGTTAAATTAGCACCTCCTTAGAGATCCAAGAGCCAGTGTACCCAGTGGTCAGAGTGGGACCATCCAGATTACAACTATTCAGATCCATAAGGGACACACTCAGGGGGCAGACTCAGTGAGCACCAAAGCCCCACTGAAGCAAGTCATGCCCCATAAGGGTGTCTCCAGCACAGAAGTTCTCCCACCATAGACACAGCTGAATCTCACAACCAACTGGCCTGGAGGTCAATTCCTCCCAGTGATACCAACAACAATCAAGGCTTAACTACAACAAGACTGTGCACAAAGCTCACAAAGGGGTGTACCAAGAGTGTTCAGCTCAGGTAATTGGGGAGGCTGAGCCACTGGGCCCTATAGGATACCTAGCACAGAAAGCCACTCTATCAACACAGGGAAGCAGCCAAAATGTGGAGACAAAGAAACAGATCACAAATGACAGAAATGGAGGAAAGCAAACTACAGGATACAGAGTTCAAAACCACGGTTATAAGGTTTTTCAAGAATTTTCTAGAAACTGCCGATAAATTTAGTGAGACCCTCCATAAATCTAGTGAGACCCTCGAGGATATGAAAAAGGACCATCTAGAAATTAAGCATACATTGACTGAAATAAAGAATATTATACAGAGATCCAATAGCAGACAAGAGGATCGCAAGAATCAAGTCAAAGATTTGAAATACGAAGAAGCAAAAAACACCCAACCAGAAAAGCAAAAAGAAAAAAGAACCCAAAAATATGAAGATAGTGTAAGGAGCCTCTGGGATAACTTCAAGCGTACCAACATCCGAATTATGGGGGTGCCAGAGAAGAGAGAGAGCAAGATATTGAAAACCTATTTGAAGAAATAGTGACAGAAAACTTCCCCTACCTGGTGAAAGAAATAGACTTACAAGTCCAGGAAGCACAGAGAACCCCAAACAAAAGGAATCCAAAGAGGACCACACCAAGACACATCATAATTAAAACACCAAAAGCAAAAGACAAAGAGAGAATCTTAAAAGCAGCAAGAGAAAAAAAGTCAGTTACCTACAAGGGAGTACCCATACGACTGTCAGCTGATTTCTCAACAGAAACTATGCAGGCCAGAAGGGAGTGGCAAGAAATATTCAAAGTGATAAATAGCAAGAACCTACAACCAAAATTACTTTACCCAGCAAAGCTATCATTCAGAATTGAAGTTCAGATAAAGAGCTTCACAGGTAAGAAGAAGCTAAAGGAGTTCATCACCACCAAACCAGTATTATATGAAATGCTGAAAGGTATCCTCTAAGAAGAGGAAGGGAAGAAAAAGGTAAAGATAAAAATTATGAACAGTTTGGCTCAGTGGATAGAGTGTCGGCCTGCGGACTCAAGGGTCCCAGGTTCAATTCCGGTCAAGGGCATGTACCTTGGTTGCGGGCACATCCCCAGTAGGGGGTGTACAGGAGGCAGCTGATCGATGTTTCTCTCTCATCGATGTTTCTAGCTCTCTATCCCTCTCCCTTCCTCTCTGTAAAATAATAATTTAAAAAAAAATTATGAACAACAAATACATATCTATCAACAAGTGAATATAAAAATCAAGTGAATAAAAAATCTGATGAACAGAATAAACTGGTGAATATAATAGAATCAGGGGCATAGAAAGGGAGTGGACTGACAATTCTCGGGGGGAAAGAGGTGTGGGGGGTACGGGAAGAGACTGGACAAAAATCGTACACCTATGGATGAGGACAGTGGGGGGGGAGGTAAGGGCAGAGGGTGGGGTGGGAACCAGGTGGAGGGGAGCTATGGGGGGAAAAAAGAGGAACAACTGTAATAATCTGAACAATAAAGATTTAATTAAAATAAAAAAGTTAGTCCTAGTTATACAAAATACTGTAAAAATATAGATACGTAGCCTATACACCAAAAAAAAAGTTTTTTATAATTATTAGGAAAAAGTTTAAATTGTAGAAAATTTAAACTGATTATGAAAGTAGGAGTTTCTTTGAAAGTATCTATGCCTAATTTATTTTAGTCATATGTAAACTTTTACATTTATCAAAAGAGCAAGCTAATATTTCTAAAAACCAAAATCCTATTTATGGAATTATAGGAGAAGATGGGATTTTTCCCAATTAGAAAACCTAAAACTATTATAGCTTATTTAGTATACTTAGTCTTTGGGGACATTTATAAAAGAACTGACTTCTCAAAGTTCTACATGTCATCCCAACTTTATAAGCCAGACTATAATTCTGATGATTTATAAGAATAAATGTTAAAAATTTTTAAATACTACATTCTATATTGCAACAAAAGTCTTACAAACTATATTATTTTATTCTAGACAAGAGAATAAAGAGGAAAGCCAATACAAACTCAAAAATATCTTTTCACTTGCCAGTCTTGGGAAAAGACCACTTAAAATATGTAACCACTTAAAATAATGACTTTTAACATTTACATAATAACTAATAACATAATAGTGATTATTTCACTAATAACCTGGCAATATAACCTCCAAAAGAAAGAATTAATGTTATTAAATAGCAGTAATTCAATTTTTTCCTCATTTCTAAATTATTTTCTCTTCCTAAATAAAAGTGCTATTTCAGAGAAACTTCAAATTTGACAAAAATCTTCATTAAACTTAACCTCAAAAAAATAATAAAAATGTAACAATTTTCTTAAAAATAGATATTCCAAGAAATTCTTACTTAGAGGAGAAAAAAACTATAAAAATATTGTTTAAATTACTTAGATTTCAAAAAGTCAAACCAATTATACATTTAATCTCAATAGAAAACATCTTTATTTGTCAATATAATCCTATAAAAGCAAAATGAGATAAACATATTGCCATCATTCCAAGTCATACCCCAAATTACCAAATAAAAATTAACACAAAAGCATTCTACGTAAGTTTTTATACACCTCTAACACATTTTTTAACTCACTTGGGTAAATATGGATCTTTCCAACAGCAGCAGCAGTTTCTACAAAGTTATTTACCTTGTCCGGGTCTTGCAGTTACAGCTGGTCCAGCAGATGGCGGCTCAAACTCCTGTCAATTACAATAATGTTATTACAGTGATCTATTACAATGTGCAATTTATAATAAAATAGTAGTGGTATCACAGCCTTACCTTTGCTTTCTTTGAGTCTGGATCAAACCTTTCAAGAATTAATTTAGCTGTTTTATAAGTTTCTTTTTCCATGACTTCTTCAAGCTGTGAACAAAAATTTCCATAAATTCCACATTTTAAAACACACACAATTTATTTTATAAGTCCCATTCAAAAAGTGTTCAAGTATAGGCTTAAAATAAACAGCACATAATATATCCAGATAGCATGAAAGACTTCCTACATTCAAATAATTAAAATCCAGATTTTGAAATGACTTCTAACCTCTAATATGTTACTTGTACTTAACAGTTTTACTGCAAGGAAATACCAAATATTGCTAATTGTTTACATATAATGAGGAGAATAATTACATGCACCAACTTCAATAATGGAATGTGCAAAAATCTATCAGCCATCATTATTGGAAGTTATTAAACATGACAAGCAAATGACAGGCAATTCCTTAGATTTATTTCCTCATAGCACTTAATGCTATTAATTTAAAGAAGGTCGTTAGCCAAGAGCTTTACAAAATAAAATCTCTGTGCCAATTAACTGCTGTCAGCATCGATTTTAGATTATTTATTAGCAGAAGCAATTAGCTTGCTGCAAATGCAGCGAACACTCACTAAACTGGGAGAACAGCCATGGAATTTGCTCAAATTACTTTAAAAACTAAAGCTCCCCCTTTTTATACTTAGAGTCAAATAACTTTAAAGAGAAAAAAAATGAACATACTAATAATTAAAGTTAAAATTTTACTGAGTTCTATGCTCACACTAGAGACTGTAATTAAAATACATTATTATAGCATTTTATTTACAATGCATTCAAGTCACTTTATGGGTTAATACTGGGTTCAATTTTAAAGTAATTACTAGTAAAGTATCATTTTAGCAGTTATGGCCCAATATCAAAAAAAAGTTTAACTTTAGTACAAGACAGTCATAGTTATAACACATAGCTAATGTGTGGAATAAAATGCTTTTGCAAACATTGGAACAGGACCATTTCCTTTTCAGTGACCACTGATAGCCTCTTGGATTCATTAAATGTCATATTCCAAAGGACTTTTATTTTAAAATGCAAAACAGAACACACATACCAAATTAAAAATACAGTTAAAAATATGTTGCCAGAATAGTAATTAATAGATTCCTCATGAAAAACTCAATCTAACATTTAAGCAGCTAAGTGCTTAAATGAATGATTTATTAACCTAGGTTTAGTGAAACTAAAACATTTTCCTAATTATTTCAAAATTATAATAAATTCTCAAAGCAAGGAAATTTAATCTTCTGATGTAAAGGAAATATCACTTTAGAGTTGGGGAAAAGTTGGTAATGAAGTTAGAGAAAGTATATATGATAGAATGTGTCCCCAAATCAACATAATCTATATAGAATATCAAATAACTGAATCCATGATCTCTACAAATTAATTTTTGATGTTTTAGACCAGTGTTTTGGCAATAGAACTTTATGTAGTGATAAAAATTATTTATATCTAGATAACTACCAATGAAACTGAAGCAGTAATCAAAAATCTTCCAGCAAACAAAAGCCCTGGTCCGGACAGCTTTATAGGGGAGTTCTACCAACATTCAAAGAACTAAAACCTACCGTCCTCAGACTATTCCAAAAAATTCAAGAGGAAGGCAAACTCCCAAGCTCTTTCTATGAAGCCAGCATTACCCTAATTCCAAAACCAGATAAGACACCACAAAGAAAGAGAACTACAGGCCAATATCCTTGATGAACGAAGATGCTAAAATCCTCAACAAAATTCTAGCAAATCAGATCTAGCATTACATTAGAAAGCTCATACATCATCACCAAGTGGGATTTATTCTGGGGATGCAAGAATGGTACAATATCTGCAAATCAATAAATGTGATACATCACATAAACAAATTGAGAGACAAAAATCACATAATCATGTCAATTGATGCAGAAAAAACATTTGACAAAATCCAACATCCTTTCTTGATAAAAACTCTCAGCAAAGTGGGAATAGAGGGATCATACCTCAACATAACAAAAGCCTTATGTGTCAAACCTACAGCCAACATCATACTCAATGGGCAAAAACTAAAAGCATTTCCCCTAAGAAAAGGAACAAGACAAGGATGCCCACTCTCACCACTCCTGTTCAACATAATACTGGAAGTGCTAGCCATAGCGATCAGACAAGAAGAAGAAATAAAAGGCATCCAAATTGGAAAAGAAGTAAAACTGTCATTATTCACAGATGACATGATATTGTACATAGAAAACCCTAAAGACTCCATCAAAAAACTACTAAACTTAATAAATGAATTCAGCAATGTAGCAGGATACAAAATTAACACCCAGAAATCCATGGCTTTTTTATACACCAATAATGAACTCACAGAAAGAGCAACTAAAAAAACAATCCCATTTACCATTCCACCAAAAAAAATTAAGATACCTAGGAATAAATTTAACTAAGGAGGTAAAAGACCTGTACTCAGAAAACTATAGGGCATTGAAAAAAGAGATAGAGGAAGACATAAACAAATGGATTCATGGACTGATAGAATCAACATCATTAAAATGTCCATAATACCCAAAGCAATTTATAGATTCAATGCAATTCTCATTAAAATACCAATGGCATATTTCACAGACCTAGAACAAACTCTCCAAAAATTCATCTGGAATAAAAAAAGACCCCAAATAGCCACAGCAATCCTGAGAAAGAAGAACAAGTTGGAGGGATCACAATACCAGATATCAATCTAAATTACAAAGCCACTGTTCTCAAAACTGCCTGATACAGGCACAAGAACAGACATAACAGAAAACCCAGAAATCAACCCAAGCTATTATGCTCAATTAATATTTGACAAAGGAGGCAAGAGCATACAATGGAGTCAAGACAGTCTCTTCAATAAATGGTGCTGGGAAAATTGGTCAGATACATGCAAAAAAAAATGAAACTAGATCATCAACTTATACGCACACAAAAATAAACTCAAAATGGTTAAAGGACTTAAATGTAAGATGGGAAACCATAAAAATCTTAGAAGACTCCATAGGCAGCAAAATAGAAGACATATGTCATAGCAATATCTTTACTGATACAGCTCCTAGGGCAGTGATGGCGAACCTTTTGAGCTCGGCGTGTCAGCATTTTGAAAAAACCGAACTTAACTCTGGTGCCGTGTCACATATAGAAATTTTTTGATATTTTCAACCATGCTAAAACAAAGACTTATATTTTTGATATTTATTTTATATATTTAAATGCCATTTAACAAAGAAAAATCAACCAAAAAATGAGTTTGAGTGTCACCTCTGACACGCGTGTCATAGGTTTGCCATCACTGTCCTAGGGCAATGGAAACTAAGGAGAAAATAAACAAATGAGACTACATCAAAATAAAAAGCTTCTGCAAAGCAAAAGAAACCATCAACAAAACAAAAAGAAAGCCCACTGAATGGGAGAACATATTTGCCAATGCTATCTCAGATAAGGATTTAATCTCCAAAATTAACAGGGAACTCATACAACTTAACAAAAGGAAGATAAACAATCCAATCAAAAAATGGGCAAAGGACCTAAATGGACATTTTTCTAAAGAGGACATACAGAAGGCTGGGAGACATGCTCAAAGTCACTAATCATCTGAGAGATGTAAATCAAAACAATGAGGTACCACCTCACACCTGTCAGAATGGCTATCATCAACAAATCAACAAATGTCAAGTGCTAGAAAGGATGTGGAGAAAAAGGAACCCTCAAGCACTACTGGTGGGAATGCAGACTGGTGCAGCCACTGTGGAAAACAGTATGGAGATCCCTCAAAAAATTAAGAATGGAACTCTCATTCAATCCAGTAATCCCACTTCTAGGAATATATCCCAAGAAACCAGAAACACCAATCAGAAAGGACATATGCACCCCTATGTTCATAGCAGCACAATTTATAATAGCTAAGATTTGGGAACAGCCTAAGCGCCCGTCAGCAGGTGAGTGGATTACAAACTGTGGTACATCTACACAATGGAATACTATGCTGTGGTAAAAAAAAAAAAAGAAGGAACTTTTACCATTTACAACAGCATAGATGGACCTGGAGAGCATTATGCTAAGCGAAATAAGCCAGTTGGAGAAAGATAAATATCACATGATCTCACTCATATGTGGGATATAATGAACAACATAAACTGATGAACAAAAGTAGATCCAGAGACAAAAGAAACACTGAACAGACTGTCCAACCTCAGAGAGAAGCCGGGGGGGAGGGGGGGGGGGGATAAAGAGGTCAACCAAAAGACTTGTATGCATGCATATTAGCATAACCAATGGACACAGACACTGGGGCAGTAGGGGCTTGTCCTGGGAGGCGGGTGTGTGTGTGGGGGTGTCAATCCAGGAAAAAGGAGACATATGTGATACTTTAAACAATAAAAAAGAGAAATAGAAAAGAAATGGTTTATATCTAAATAAAAGTGGTAGCCACTGAGCCATATGTGATAAATTCGCACTTAAAATTCTGTTTGTGCAACTGAGGAACTAAATTGTAATTTTATTCCATTTTAAATAATGTAAATTTTAAAAGCTACTTGGAGCCCTGGCTGGTATGGCTCTGTTGGTTGGACGTCATCCCATGCATGGAAGAATTGCTGGTTCATGCCAGGGTTGCTAGGGTTTCAAGCTCCATCCCCAGTAGGGGGTGTGCAGGAGGCAGCTGATCAATGTTACATCCTCACATCGATGTTTCTCTCTCTCTCTCCCCCTCCCTTCCTCCCTTCACCTTCTTCTCTCTCTAAAATTCAATCTAAAAATCTAAAAAAAAAAAAAAAAAGCTAGTGGTTACTGATTTGGACAATACAGGTCTAAACTGAGACTACTGCTAGGTTTAAAAATATGGTTAGCTACTACTGTGATCTTTAACACAAAACCAAAATGTCTCTTCATCAAAGGATTGTAATTCCTGGTATATCATTCAACAAATATTAATGTTTATGTCCATGTACATGTAAAGTATCTTAAATAAAACCATTTTTAAAAGCACTGATATAAATCCATTCCCCTTTTCTTTTGCATTTACTTCTAGCCAAAATTTTTCACATAATAGCATAACACACTTATCTATACAACATTTTAAGTGAATAACTTGTTTTAAATAGACATTCCGATCAGTGGAAAGAACATAAACTTGTAACTTTGAAGTCAGAAAAGATCTTGGTTCAAAGCACATCTCCATTCTTCATCATCTAGAAAAATTTTAAGCAAGTGTGTTTCCTAAGAGGAAACACTAACACAAAATAAATGTCAAAAACATTTTAATTTTTAATTTATGGGCCTGTCTTATTATTAATGGTGAGCCTGGCTAGTGTCGCTCAGTGGTTGAGCATCAACTCACTGAACCAGGAGGTCACCATTCCATTCCTGGTCAGGGTATATGCCTGAGTTGTGGGCTCGAACCCCAGTAGGGAGCATGCAGGAGGCAGCCAATCAATGATACTCTCATCACTGATGTTTCTATCTCTCTCTCCCTCTCCCTTCCTCTCTCTGAAATAAAGAAAAAAGTATTAAAAATGGGGGGTTAAACTTTTTTTAAAAATTTTAATTTTGAAAGAATATTCTACACATATTTAATATTTAAATTATTATTGAAATGAAATTTTAAAATACACAAATTATTAATTGCCCTAGCCAATATTCTTGATTTCTGTTCCATGAAAAATATCCCAAATGTAGAAAAATTTCTTTCATTTTACATTGGGTTAGGTCAAATTATTAAGAATGTGCTCAAAGGCATCTTCAATTCAGAAAATTAGGGTACATGTTGCGACATTTAAACTCATCTTTTTACAACAATGAAAATATTGTCTGTTTACCCTGATTTGTGTTTTGCTGTTGAAATCAATATTGTATTGACTAATTCAGATTTTACATCATTTTCTAATTTCATATAGGAGTATTTCACAAAAATAGTCACAACTTTTCTCTCTCTACACTTTTTTGTTAAAGTATTTACAGAGATCTGTAGCCTATGGTGAATATTCAAACACTGAAAAATGCCAGCAAACATTATTGGATAATATAACAATGTAATATTTGAAACATCTAATGAGGTTAACAACCTTACAGAGAATCACATGCTGAAATTGCCAATTTAAGGACATCCTTTATTTCCAAATTTATTTCATGGAAGATCATTTGCAGGATTTTGTATAAAGTATACTATATGTATAAACTTATTAACATTTATTTGTGAGAACTCACCATTAATAATAAGACAGGCCCATAATACATACTTATAACATGGTCACAAGAGCAAGACTGACTAATTAGACTGTTCCACTTCTCTTGTACATGGTCCTGTTCCCAGATATGTCCACATTAACTTACAGCTCAGAATGTAAGCATTTCTAGCTCTTGTTTTCAAGTGACAGTAGTGGATTCTTTTGAACCAGTAATATCTGTAGTTGAGAATTATAACACTTCTTCCCATGTTTCCAATTTCTCAACTGATTTTTTTTCAGGATTTGGTAAATTTCCTGAGAAATGCCGGGAAGAAGTTACCACACAGAAATGCTATCTTGGAAAAAACATGGCATTTTCATGAAGCCATTTAAAGAGGTCATTTTGACTCATGTGTTCTATCTTGATTTTGAATCTTTTTGATAGGATGCTCATGGATGCAGGGGGATTATATATTTAACAATGATTTTTTAAAAATGAAAAAAAAAATTAAAAACCACAAAATATGTGAGTGGCAAAATATACACATCCAGACTTGGAAGTTTTTTAGATAACTTAAGATTAATTCCTAGCTTTATTTTAATAAGCAAATATTTACATTAAGTTCTTAGATTTAAAACACTGTTAAGATGTTACTCATTTTCCTTTCTAAGTAATTTAACTCTTTAGTAATTTAACTTTTTAATCAATTGATAATTCACGTTCACTGTTAAAAATTATACTTTTACAAATTACATATTACATTACAAATCTAATCATATTAAAGAGATGCATCCCTAAGAAAACCACCTTTAGTGAAATATCAAGTAGTAAATATAGTGTATTAATTTTGTTAATAAAAGAGAAGGTTTAGGAGTTGGATAATTTTGGACTGATAGTCATTTTCCTGCAGACATTTCAACAATAAAAGTATTTTTAAAGCTACAGCTGTAGAGTGAAAACTTAAACATCAATGAACAAGATCAGTGTAGGGAGCGACTCTAGGGTCAAGCCTCGGGCTGACCTGTGGCAAGGCCACAAACAAGTCCCAGCCTAGAGGGCAGAGCTCTCCTAGCATAATTAAGCCTGACCTTGTAGCCCTCACTAATTCCTTCCGAAGTAGCTAATGGGCTGTGGGAGGTGCAGCAAGTGTTGCCAAAACAAGAACATTTGTATACATGTTAATCTACCCTTGTTTTAATCAGACTATAACATAAAGCATCGGCTTGCAAGCTGGGTCTTTTGTGTCCTCATCCAGGCACCGGAGATCCACCGAGCCCCAGCTGTATTCTCTTGTCTGTCTTTTCTTCAATCCTTCACCACCCCTCCTCAGGTTCACCCTTGGCCGTGCTGGCGCAGCACAAATCAGTTTTAATTATTTAGCTTTTGCTCAAACTAATGTCCCTTCTTTTTCCTCTCATAACCAGCACAATCATTAGCTAGCCCTGGCCTACTACTATTTCACCCTTAACAAACCTATTGTTCTAAACGAATTGTAAAGCTACTCAAACAAGGCAGTTTTGTTAAGTGCTCCAGCAATGAAGGCCAGGGACTAGTTCCCAGAAGCAACAGTATTATTACCAGCAACATTCAAGTCAATATAAATTGTGTTCCCTAATTAATGAGTTATAATAGCCAACTTATTTTTCCTTAATCATACTATAAGAAAAATGCCATACTGAACTATTCTGTAATACTAATGCTTCATAATCCATTTCAATATTCAACTATTGAACCCTAAAATGAATTTTCCAACTGTCAGGCCTAAATGAAGCACCTTTTATGTTGTGAGTCCTTCAATGGCTATTAAAGAATTAGTAAATAGCTTGCCTTGCCCTTTCACAGAATTTTCCAAGTTTGCTCCAAGATTCTGTTTTCTGGTGATGTGATGCCACTAATATGGGAATGGTTTCTCATCACTTGGAATTTTTTATTTTCTTCTGTGTTTTTTTCTCTTTTTTTCTTTTGTCTTCCTTGTCTTTTCTACTTTAATCAATACTTCTCCATTTTAATACATACAGGGCTTGGCTCTGACCACCACAACCTGCTCCTTTTTATCGTATCAGAAAACTCTATCAATCATATCACAACTTCTAGATTACTGAGAACCATCATTATTTCCTCACTTTGGTTTTTTTCTCAATTAAAGTTTATATTCAATATTATTTTGTATTAGTTTCAGGTGTACAGCATAGTGGTTACAAAATCACTTTACAAAGTGTTCCCCCTATTCTTTCCAGTACACATCTGGCACAATAAATAGTTATTACATCATTGACTATATTTCCTATATTTACATCTCCATGACTAATTTGTAACTACCAATCAGTACTTCTCAATCCCTTCACCTTTTTCACCCAGCCCCCCAATTCCCCTCCCCTCTGTCACCTATCAGTCTGTTCTCTGTATCTGTGAGTCTGTTTCTGTTTTATTTGTTCATTTACACTGTTCTTTAAATTCCACATATAAGTGAAGTATTTCCTCACTTTGAATTCTAGCTGCTCCATAATGTACAGAATGCCAGAAAAATAATACAATATATTGAAAATATTTCTATGTTTCAATTTAGGACCATGAAAAATGTTAATGCAATTTTGATAAATACCTCATAGAACACTGAAGAAACATTAAACAAAACAGATAAGAAAGCCTTTAGAACTTAAGTTTCTTTATTTTCAGGTACTTAAAACCCTCAAGACCAATGTCTTTTACTACCAATTCACAGAACAAGTTTTAACGTTAATCTTAACCATATTAATTTTACTGATTTCATACATAATTGTTACATATTACATTTAGACTAAAATATATTCATCATTTGCATCTAATTAACATGATAGTACTATCAATTATCATTTTCATACTTCAAAAAATAATTACATGAAAAAAGTACATGTAAATTCAAGTCAAAAGCCAAGTTCAATTAACTTATTAGAGACTACTATATATAAACCTCTAAATATCTAGGGCCCTTTCTCTCACTCTTGGCCCTCCTTCCAACATATCGGAAAGATGCATTTAACTGCCCCTATAATAGCTACCCATGTAATCTGAGTTGCTGACAAAAAATGAAAGAAACCAAAGGGGGGAAAAAAATCTCTTTCTCCCTTTCTTAAGTCTTTTCATGTTAAATTTGTCTCTTACAATCAATCTTCTTGATTCCTCTCTCTTACCCTTATCATGTCAAGAAAACTTAAGAACTGACATATGTAAATGTTTGGTCCTTTTTCACCCCTAATCAATAATCAATCTGGACACCACTTTTTCATCTCTCTGCCTTACTAAGTCCTCCAATATTATTCATTTACTTACTTCTCAGCTTCCAACTGATATAGATTCTCAGGATCTCAAAAGTCCATTAGCTACTTTTTCCTGTCAATCATTATTAACTAGCAAAAATATTCATAATTTAGTTTCATCATTAAAATGCTATCTAAAAGCATATTTGTTTCTTAGAAGAGTCATTACTTACAACATATAAACATTATTCAGTTCTTTATTAGTTTTACATAAATTAACTTTAAGTATAAGTTAACTTACTATTTTTTTCTTCTGGGATTTTAAATCATCCAATGCTTCATCTAGAAAAAGAAATTTAAATCAAAGCTAAATGAGATATTAAGATACTTAAAGAAAAAATCATGCCAAATGATACACATTAAGCAACTGCAAGAAAACTTTCTCATTTTAGTATTTCTCACTGATATATACAGATAAAAGTGATCTCAATCTTTACCCACATATATTTCATATTTTGCCCATATTATATATTACAAGCTACTTAAATAGAGAAAAAATTGCCTTAACACAGACTACAACACTTTTCCAAATTCAAAAATATATTATTTAGTTTTCAGAAACATTACTATTATTTCTCCTTCCTTTCATTATCCTACCCAAACTTATGAAATTAATACCAAATCTTTTTATATATTGCTAATAAAAATGTTGTTTGTTAAGTGCATAATATATTTTATTAAGTTATTCAACCTTCAAGGTATTGAGCACTAATAAAGAAAATACTTTGAAAATCTATAGTATTATACCTGAGGAGGGACTTGGAAAGGAAGAGAACATTAATCACTTTTCAAAATTAAACTTTTCTAAGATTTGTCTGCTTTAGGTTGGCGTGGTGAAGAATCATTCAAATTAATTATGAATGTCGATGTCTGCTTTACAAATGTATTTTAGGTCTCTAGTTTTTCTCTAGAAATATTGTCAACATCTGCTTTACAAATTAATTTTAGGTTTTGAGTTTTTATCTAAAAATATTTAATTAGTGCAAAGAGGAATACTATTCCAGCTGGGGAAAAAAAGAGTTATACCTTGATTTAAATATTTTTATCAAAGAGAATTTAAATTTTCTTAAATTTTTAATTAAATTTATAAATAATATCTGTTCATTCAAGTTCTGGGATAGCAAATATCTGAATATCCAATTTAAAGCATATTATTTAAAGGAATTTTAGCGATAAAATAGGCAGGTTTAGGAAGTCTTAGAAATAAAGAGTGTCCATGGGGGAGGAATGCATAGGTGAGGCCTTAGAGCCCTCAGAAGGCATACATTCACAGAGAACAGAAAGGTGCCACAGGATAAGGGGAGAGAAAGACATACTAGGTGTACCAAGTTAATAATGCAGATTTTTTTCAATAGATGGAGTTACACATATGTTGATATATATGCGATTTGATATGTATGCTATTTTGTTGTATTGACAGTAAGCTTCAAAACTTCATATGTCAAATTTGCTGAAGGTGTTAACATCATAGATATTTTTACGCTTAAAAATGTTGAATTTTGTGCAAAAAAAAGAGCATTTGTGGGAAGTTTTACTTCATTACTATATTTTGAAGAAAAAGTTATCGTATACTTCAGGAAGCTTATGGTGAACATGCTCCATCTCAAGATACGTGTGAACGCTGATTTAAACGCTTTCAAAGTGATGATTTCAATGTGAAAGACAAAGAACGTCCAGGTCAACCGATAAAGTTTGAAGACCAACAATTACAAGCATTATTGGATAAAGATGTGTGTCAAACTCAAAAACAACTTGCAAAACGATTAAACGTTGCTCAGCAAACAATTTCTGATCGTTTACAAGCAATGGGAAAGATTTTAAAGAAAGGAAAATGGGTGCTACATCAACTGAACAAAGACAAATAGAAAACCGAAAAGTCATCAGTAAAATGTTGCTTCAACGGCACAAAAAAAGTCTTTTTTGCATCGAATTGTGACTGGCAATGAAAAGTGGATTTATTTTGAGAATCCCAAATGCACAAAATCATCGGTTGATCCAGATCAACCATCAACATCGACTGCAAGGCCAAATCGCTTCAGAAAGAAGATAATGCTCTGCGTTTGGTGGGATCAAGAAGGTATGGTTTATTATGAGCTTCTAAAAACCAGGTGAAACCATTAATATTGATGGTTAATATTGCTACCAACAACAAATAGTCAATTTGAACCATGCTTTGATCGTGAAACGACCAGAATGTGCCAGAAGACACAGCAAAATAATTCTGCTTCATGATAACGCACTATCACACACTTCAAAACCAGTTAAAGACACATTAAAAGATCTTGCCTGGGAAGTATTAACCCACCCGCTGTATTACCAGACCTTGCTCCTTCAGATTACCACTTGTTCTGATTGATGGCACACGCACTTTCTGAGCAGCACTTCAAAACATACAAAGAAGTGGAATATTGGGTCTCTGAATGGTTTGCCTCAAAACAAGAAAAGCTCTATTGGGACGGTATCCACAAATTACCTGAAAGGTGGGGGAAATGTGTAGCTAGCGATGGACATTACTTTTAATAAAGCACTTTTGATGTTTCTCTTGAAATTATCGTGTTTTCTTTGATTACAAAATTTGCCATTATTAACTGGTACACCTAGTACATGCACAGAGGATCAAGAAAAATCAAAAGAGTGTGGGGAAAAAGGAAACATACTTTCACAGAGGATAGAGAAATGCCAACAAATGCTGGAAAAAGGTAAACATGTTCACAGGAGATAGAGAGATGATACAAGAGGGAGAGAAAAAGGGGGGCACCACATGGGTTTTGGACTTTGAAGTTGATATTCTGCAAAAGACTGACCAATTTAAAAAGCACAGAGTCATAAAATCAGGAAGGGGTCCAATTAAAAGGGAGCATGAAGAGACACAAAACTACAGCATTTATAAGCTTTAGAAAAAAGGAGCCTAGTGGGTTACCCCCTTGGGACCCTCTCCCTACAGGGGAGTCTGTATTTGCTTCCAATAAATGTCCACCCTCTTCATCTATCACCTTTTGTCGATGGCTTCGTTCTTCGAATCCATCTGGACAAGTACCCGGGAAAGAAATCATCCTTGCATCCTGCTCAGGAAATCAACTGAATCATTGTTTTTATTTTCTTTTTGATATTTGCCTTTTATCATGTCAGCACTGTACATGATAAATTAATCACTTCTGATTGAAGGTAAGTGAAAGCTCCTCAATTGTACAATTAAATGAATTTTGAAATATTAGAATATCCTTTATAGTTGTGTGAGCTCAGGGGGGAAAACTGCTGAAACTGTAGTTTGAACTCAAATAATGTATCTGCTACAAATTTGTGTGGAATGGAGATCTTGCTTCTTGTTTTAACTTTTCATAGCACTTTTTAAAAAAATTACTTTTTGTAATTACAACGTTATGTTTTCTCAATGACTTTATGGCAGTATAGGTTTCACATATAGGATTGTTTGTCTTGAAATCTTAGTTTAACTCATTAATAACCATTATCAAGTCTGCAGCAAAAGCTAATTTCCAAAGCCAGTGAGTGGTTGAAGGTGGTTCCTCTCAGGAAAATTTCAATCTGGGCTCTGAGCTCAAAATAGCAAATAAAACTTTACCACTGCTAAACCATCAAACAGCTGTGTGGTAGAACAGGTCAAGATATTCATCTTCTACTTCTGATACAATTCACATATCTGATTATGGTTAAGTCTATAAGAGCAAATGAAGCTCCCCATTGACACTACTAGTTCAATAATATGTAAATTCAAATATAATCTGTAAATACCTGCTATTAAATAGTACAGTGACTAACCATATAATTCAAACACCTACAGTTTCATGAGCTTTTTTTGTTTCACACATATTTTTACTACCAAAAGTTGCATCTTAGCAGATTCCACTTCAGGTTGTACTGAGTTCATGTATGTATTTTTTCAACTTATCAACTTAACAAATATTCTCTCCAGGAGTTGTTCTACAGACTCTTCATAGAGGCTAATTCTTCAATCATCTCAAGCTCAGCAATGACTCCTTAAGTAAACTACAAATGAGTAGTATATGTAACATCTGTCAATTCATCAAGAGCCAAGGAAGATCACTTGAAATCATTTGCCTTGTTTTTAAATTGACTATGTTGCTTCCAATGTTCTCAATTTTTCAAGCAAATATTCTTGCCAAAGATTACTAGTCAAACAAATATATTTTCTCTGAATACATTTCTTCAGCTGCAGCAAACACACACAATTTAATTAATTCACCATTGGTAAGTGCCTTTCTTTGCTTCATAAGCCACTCAGAAACTTACTTTGGTAAACATTCCATTTTCACCTTTTATTTTTACGAAGAAATTTTACTATGATGAGATATTCCATTTTAAATGTTCTAATTTTCTGACCATTGCTTTTCTGTGAGTTGGGAATATCATGATGAGTATTTAGTGTAGTTATGTCAATGTATATTTGTATTCTTTTAGCACAACTATAATGTCATTGCATAATAAACACAATGCTTTGCATTTTGATAATAAAATCTATACTGCATTGTGCCCTAAAAGTGCAACATTCAAAGTCCAATGTTCCGTTTTTGTTTTTACATGATGAATATGCACTGGTAACAAAAAATAAAGTTGTCACAAAACAGAAACACAGGTGGCACTTGAAATGCTGTCAAATTATAACTATGTCACTGTGATTTGTCATGCATGCTGCAACAAGTCTGAAGTGTTGAGAGCACCAGTACAGTCTGTCACAACTACTCAATTCTGCCATTATAGAATGAAAGCAGCTATACACAACACAAGTGAATAGGCATGGCTGTATTTCAATAAAAACAGAAATTTGAATTCCATACAAATTTAACATGCTACAAAATATTATTCTTTTGAATCTTTTCAATGATTTAAAAATGTTCAAACCCAACTAAAGGACTTGTATGCATGCATATAAGCATAACCAATGGACACAGACACTAGGGGGTGAGGGCATGTGCTGGGGGGGGGAGGAGTGGCTAGGGAGGGGTCAATGGGGAAAAGGGAGACATATGTAATACTTTCAACATAAAGAATTTAAAAAAAGAAAGTGTTCAAACCATTCCTAGATCATGAGCTATACAAGGACCTATCTTACAGGCTGTAGTTGCCAACCCTTAATTTAATCTATACTTTCCAACTTGTAAAACAAAGGAAATAAAACTAATAGAGAACAAAAAGCAAGAACAAAATAAAACAAACAAAAAAAGGCAAGAACATGACAAATAGCTTCAGGCTTAAATACATATATATATATATGTGTGTGTGTATATGTGTGTGTGTGTGTGTGTATGTATACATATATATGTATATATGTATATATGTATATATGTAACCTGACTTTATGCTAAAAATAAGTGTAAGACTGCAAGACAATCTTTTATAAAGTCTATATTAAATGTATATGCAATATCTATTCAAATGAATTAGTAAAAAATTTTTTAAACAAAAGGATCCCTAAAATAAATTTTTAAAGCATCATCTTTTTATATAATAACCATGTCCCGATGTGCCTTTCTCTTTCATTCACATATGTGAATAAAAGAGAAAAAAGTATATACGACAAACTCAATATCTGGTTAAATAAAAATGTTTAAATAAAAAATTTCACACATTTGATTTCCTTAGAAAAGTGTTTCCAAGGACTTACTGTATTTTTTTACCATTTTGTTAGTTCCATGAAGTCAGAAAGCATATTTGTTTTAAACTTCTTACTATCCTCCCAGAAGCTACTATATTACTAAATACCACTGGAAACAATACAATAAACTTAATTTCCTTAATCTGATTTTTAAAAATATCAATTTTTTTTTAACCATATCAAATATCCTACTTAATGGTTAATCAGGAACTAGACAAATTTACCTGCTATCCCACTTCAATATTATACTGGGTCTTAACCCATTAACTAAGGCAAGAAACATTTTAAAAGAGTAAGAATTTGAAAAAGAAAAATTAGTACCATCAGGCCACATGTGTATAACACTTAACAGTGTTTATATGCTTTTACATGTATTTTTGTTCAGTACTTGGCAATAGTCCTGCCAAAACAAATATTTCTTAACATTTTATAAATTGAGGCTTAGATAATTTAAATTTATTTGTAGGACAAAAAGATGGCCAGTATGGCTGTAGCAAAAATGAAAAAAGGAGAGTGGAAGGAGATAAGGTTAGAGAAATGGAATAAGCCAGAGAGTTGAGGTAAGAATTCAAATTTTACTTTGGTTGCCATAAGAAACCACTAGAAATTTTAAATAGAAGAGACACAAGATCTAATTTAAAATAGATTGGTTATATAGCCCTGGCCAGGTGGCTCAGTTAATTGGAGTGTTGCCCCACTCCAATTGCAGGTTCGATTCTCAGGCTGGGCACATACCTAGGTTGCAGGTTCAATTCCCAGTCAGGGAGTGTGTGGGAGGCAACCGATCCATGTTTCTCTCTCACATCATTGTCTCTCTCTCCCTCTCTCTCTCTCATCTCTATCTGTTTCTTTCTTTCTCTCTCTATCTTTCCGCCCCCTCCCCCTTTTTCTCCCTCTAAAATTAATAAGAAAATAAATCCTCAGTTAAGGATCAAAAAATCTATATATAGGCTGTTACAAAACCACTGCAGTACTGCAAGCAAGAAATGATGATGACCTGAAGTAGAACTGTACTAGTGATAAAGGTTAGAAATAGTAAGATTCAAGATAATTTTAGAGGTAAAGATAATAGGACTTTGAAGGGGAAAGAGAAATGCATGTTAGACTAAAGGGAAATGGAGGCCGAATAGGTTTTTCCCCTCTAGATGATTGCAGTGAGGCAGAATTATATGCCAATAGAGCAGTGGTTCTCAACCTTGGCTGCACATTAGAATCACCTGGAGATTCCCAGGTGATTCTAATGTGCAGCCAAAGTTGAGAACCACTGCAATAGAGAAAATCCAACAGATACAGGTGATGCAAAAGAGAGGATAATTCCAGGAAAGGGTAATTATAAGAGCAAAGTTCTTGAGATAGCCAGAGAGCATCTAGAATCCAGGGCATAAATGAGGGGCTTAGCCACATACAGGATCAAAGTCATTCTTCCAGAATTTCATGAAGGATGAGAACATACTGAGTAACAGATGGAGCTAACGATATATTTGGTGGCAGAGGTAGCTCCCATCTGTTTACATCCATTTTCTCCATAAAGTGAGACTATCAGGTGAGAGTGGCCAGGTAGATTTTTGTGTGGTTTTGTTTGCGGCTTTTGAATTTTTATTTGGTTGGTTAGTTTGTTAGTTGGTTGGTTGTATTTTGGTTTGGTTCTGCGATTTTGGCAGGGAGGTAGATGTTAGAAATTTGAGGAAAAATACAATCTCAAACAATGCTCTCAAAAAGGAAAACAGTGAATCTACTAGGGCAGTGGTCGGCAAACTCATTAGTCAACAGAGCCAAATATCAACAGTACAACGACTGAAATTTCTTTTGAGAGCCAAATTTTTTAAACTTAAACTATATAGGTAGGTACATTGTTATTAACTTAATTAGGGTACTCCTAAGGCTTAGGAAGAGCCACACTCAAGGGGCCAAAGAGCCGCATGTGGCTCGCAAGCTGCAGTTTGCCGACCACTGTCTAGGGAACTATAAAATAGGACTGTGCAATGTTGAGTGAACATTGGTGTTTGCAATAAGTCTGGTCAACATGTTGTATGATTTTCCTCCAACAAATTTAGCTTTTCTGATACAGGCATAGATTAAGCATATAAATGTTTTTAACTAGGACAGGGTTTTGGCAGTCACTGATTAAGCATATAATTATGTTTAAACAGGGTATGGTTTTGCCAGACAAGTAGACTGGGAAAGAGGAAAAATGAATCAAGAGAGTCTGCAAGGGATGGTCAGGGCTAGACCACAGAACCTCAACTGGGTTCAAATAATGAGCAAGAAGGGCAGTTTGAAAGTCATATATCTGTACGACCCTTATCTGGATCCTGAGTCAAACAAACAAAATACTTTTAAAGCAAATTATATTTATGAGATAACTAGAAATTTAATACTCTCATATTTAATGATATTAAGAATTCTTTTCAAAGAAACAAATGAACAAACAAAACAAAACCAAAAAACCTCACAGATACAGACAAGATTAGTGGTTTCCGGGGGGAAGGAAAAGGGGAGGGTCAAATATATGGTGATGATGGAAACTAGACTATTGGTAGCTAGCAAACTATAGTGTATACAGATATCAAATTACAAGGTTGTACACCTAAAACTTATGTAATGTTATTACCCTATGTTAACCTCAGGATTTTTAAAAATTCTTTTCCAGCTATTATAATGTAGTATGTTAATTACTTTAAAAGTCTGTTATGGATTGATATACTTGGGATATACTTCAGAATAATAATACAGAAGATAGATAAGTGGGGGTAAAAATGAAACAAGATTGACCATGAGTTGAAGACTCTTTAGGTTGTATGATAGCTATAAGAGGGTTCATTATATTATTCAGTCTACTTTTGTATATGTTTGAAATTTTCTATAATGAAAAGTTAAAACAAAAAAAACAAAACACACAGAAAAAAGTTAAAACAAGAAAAGAAAAAATAAGTCACATAAATTTTATTAAAAATTAAATTGGCATCTTTGGTTAATTATAGCTCATAGTTTTAAGACCTGAAAATTCTTAAAATCTGTACACATACAGAACAAATACAGACTATTTTGTCATAATTTGCATATTTCAATAAAAACAAAAGCCTAGGGGCTGTGAGGTTACAAAGAATGGTGCAATTAATAAAATAAATCAAAAGATTTTTAACTGTATTTTACTCCATAATAACGTAAGATTTATATAAAGATTAATTTAACAAATATAATTTCTCTTGACTTAGATGAATTATTTTGTTTTGTGTAAACAAAAATTCTAAATGAATAAGACAGAAATAACACAAATGAAAAGTAGAACCATCTTGATCATTCATAACCTTTCTTATGCTTCACAGTAAACAACTCTTCAATATTTACCATGTTTGTCATTTCCATATAACACTGCATAACCTGCCATTTAATTACAAACCAATGCACTATGAGTTTTCTAATGCATTTATACAAACTTAGAAATTTAACTTACTATTTCTTTCTGTTCTCTTGGAAAAGAAGAAGATAAGCACTGTTCTTATGCTCCAGATGCTACAAAGGTGGCAAAATTCAAAAACAAAAATCATCATTAGAATAAGTAAATTAGAAGCCATATAAAATTAAAACAAATACACATTTCCCATTAGAGTTAGGTTCACTGTTTCCTTTTATATGTTGAAAATCAAAAAGTGCTCCTTTCTTTCAGAGACATCAGAAGTCTACCTGTGCTTTCAAAAGAGTTCTCAATCTAAAATCCATGGGCCTTCTGAGGCTCTTTTGAATTGCAAAATTGCCTTTGTTTAAATAAACGCATTTCTCTGGAGAGATCACTGCTTTCATCGTTCTCAAAGAGGTCTATGAACTCCACAAAAGATTAGGAACAAAATTTAGAATCCCTTCGTACTAAGTATCAACTCTTAAGACAGTGGTTCTCAACCTTGGCTGCACATTAGAATCACCTGGGATTGCGCTCACAAGATAGTCACAAGTGTGCTCTATCTCCTGGTATTCACATCTTTGTGTAGTCCTCTCTCATTAATGTTGATCTGTGTGACCAATAGCACATGGCAGGAGGGAGAGTATGTCACAACAAGATTATGTTATAAAAGATTACAGTTTGTATCTTGGACCTCCTTTTCCACTCACTATCTTTCTCTCTCTTGGATTACTCTTTCTGAGAGAAGCCAGCTGCTATGACATGAGGACATTCAGGGAACTCTATAGAAATGCCCTTGTGGCAAGGGACAGAGGTCTCTGGCAAACAGCCAGTGAGGAGCTGAAGCCTGCCAACAACTACATGTGTGAGCTTAGAAGTAAATTCTCCAGTCTTAGTTAAGCCTTGAGATGATTATAGCCCCAGCCAACAGCTTAAATGAAATTTGTACACTCTGTATATGAATAAAAGACCCTGAGCCAGAACCACCCAACCCTGCTCTCTCATTCCGGCCCCTCAAGAACTATAAAAGATAATAAACATTTGTTGATTTAAGCTACTAAATTTGGGGCAATTTGTTAGACAGCAACAGATAACTAATACTTGCTTTTTATATTGTTATTTATTTTTATGATCTGAAAACACCAAATAACCACACCAGATTCCCACATGGTACTTGAACAGCTACCTAAGCACTAAAAAACCCCTGAATATTGTCCTTATCAAGGAAAGGAAGATGAGAGAAGAGGTTAAACATAAGGCTCATAACCCTCACGGATCCCACAACAGTAAAAAAGTCCCATGATATTTCTCCACTTCAAACAAACTGAAATAGTGGCAAGCTGAGAGATGAATTAGAAAAAAAGTACAGGGAACAAAAGCAGAGAACATGAGAGAAAAAAATCACAGAGATAGTGCCTGGAATTCTATAGTAAATCAGTAAATTTTCTTAAATGAGTAGATACTTTTTAAAAAACATAAGTAATTTTTGCCCTGGCCAGTGTGGCTCAGTTGATTGAGCATCATCCAATCCACAAAAAAACTGCTGATTCGATTCCCAGTCAGGGCACATGCCCAGGTTGTAGGTTTGATAGCTGGCCAGGGTGCATGCAACCGATTAATGTTCCTCTCTCACATAGATGTTTCTTTCTCCCTCTCTCTCTTTCTCTCTCCACCTTCCTCTCTCCCTAAAATTAATAAGAACATATTTTTTAAAAAAAACCAAACATGTAATTTTCAAAGTGTATAAACTACAAGAATTGAAATAGACTCCCTTACTTCAAAACAAAACTCATTAATCCACCATCATGGACAATAAATTCTCCTTTTGGTTTTGATCAGAACTACTGCAGGAGAAAATGAGCTATCAACTTTCCATGTGTCAAGTCTTCAAGACTTGAAAGTGCATGTAAGTTATTCTTTAAGGCTAAATTAAATTAAATTCATAGCATTTTAAAAATAAAATTTCGAAAAAGAATTAAAGTACATCAGGAATCTATGTTTTAGTTATCTCAAGAAAGGTTTTTCTCTCCAAATTAAATATAATTTATGAAAATGTGGCAACATATTTTCTGAAGACATTAAAGATACCATTACTGACTCCTACTTTGAGAAACGTGACATAATCAACATTTCCCCTTCCTCTTCTGGAAATAATCCAAAAAGCAAAATCAAAAATTCCTTTTCTGGTAAAACTAAAATATAGCTAAAACCCAACCCTCAAAATATGTGTTAGGGCTCCCAAAAGCAATGGAAATCATGCAGGGACTAAAAAGAGTGGAAGCAGAGAAGAAAAATGGCTTATCTCACAAAGAGGTAGCAAGAGAAACTTCTCAAAGTGTAATAAAGCCTTGTTTATCACAATGAAAATAAGACATACATGCTATAGGCAGAAACTGCTTAGTTTGGTCCCATAATGACACAGAGAAGGCGGAGCTTAAAGAGAAATCATTCATTCATTCTGCCAAACTTAAGCGCTCTCTTTCCAACAACCACATAAGCCCTATCCAATTTATTGAAATGTTTTTAGGTGAGATTTAAATACTATATAAAACTAAAAATGAAAAGATATATAGGTCTCAATATTTATAACTATGTTGACTATTTTGTCTGTTTATTTAACTATCAAAGGTTTTAGCAAGACTAATCTTCATATTCAGACAGAAGAAGAATGATTTATTTTGATATAAGGCAGGCATCAAGCTTTATATTTAATTTTTATCTATTTTTCGGTATAACTCAACACCATTTCCGCCCCAATGATTTGAAATGTCATCTCTATCATATATAAAAACCATACATAAAAAATCATTTGGGGATTTATTTCTGGATTCTGTGTCTCTTTCTTTGGTCTCTGTCTCTATTTATACGCTGTACCAAACTTTTAATTAATAAAGTTTTATAATGAATTTGATGCCTCGTAGGCCTCTGCTTCTCATTCTTCTCCTTTTTTAGAATTTCCAAAACGATTTTTAGGTGCTTATTTTTCCATTAAAAATTATAGAAGGGTGCATTGATTTTTAAAGCATTGTTATTTTTATTATGATAACATATTTTTTAGATTAATTCAGGGAGAACTGATCTCATTACAATATTGAGTCTTCAAATCAAAGAATAGGATGTGTCTCTTAATTATGTCTCAGTACATAATTCTTTAAGTATAAAATCTATCAAGTGAATATCTATCAATATTCAAATATTATCAATATTGCAAAGGGAATACTTGCAAAATGATTTTCTTACCTACCAAAGTAAATACAGTTTACTTTTGACAACACAGATTTGAACTATGTGGGTCCACTTATATGTGGAATTTTTTTCAATAAATGTTATTTTCTCTTCCTTATTATTTTCTTAATAACATTTTCTTTTCTCTAGCTCACTTTAAGAATACAGTATAATACACATAACACACAAAATATGTATTAATCAACTATTTATGTTATCATTAAGGCTTCCTGGCAATAGTAGGCTATTAGTAGTTAAAACTTTGGGGGGTCAAAAGCTATATGTGAACCGATTTTTTTGGTGATTCTTATTTGGGGGGGGGGGGCGGAGAGCGGGGAAGAGTCAATTATATCCTCCTTGAGTAAAAATATCAGGAAATGTTCACAGATATCTTCTCCTTTAAAAGCCAACTATAATTGATGAGAGATACTTTGTATTCTTATTAGAGTGCCATGAAACAAATATTTAACTTTCTTCAAAAGGCTACAAATGATCACTTCTCAGCCTTTTGGCTGAAATCAAGCCAAGTACCTGTTTTTATCAGTGTAAAAGACTACAAATTATGTTTTTCAACCTTCTAGCTGAATTGAGAAAATGTTACTAGCTAGTTGGAAGAAGGAGGTGTGTGAAAGAGGCATAAAAATTATACAATATCAAAGCCCTAACCTCAAATGGCTTTCAATTTAGTACAACAGGGATTTTCAACCAGTATGCCACATCATACTGGTATGGCACAAGAATCTGTAAAACATGCAATACCTGATTATTTAGTCAGGAGTACTGACCTCTTTCCCCTTACACTGTCAAATAAAAAATGACAACAGCCAACAAAACAATAGCGGTCTGGTGTGAATAAATCAATATTATACCTTTTTAATTTTTTTTTGTCAGATTGGCAAAAGATTATTCTTTGGTGTGTCACGTAATTTTAGTAATTAGTTTATGTGTGCCATGAGATGAAAAAGGTTGAAAATCACTGTGGCAGAAAAACATTGCTTGTAGAGTCTGTCAAGATAGAGACAAAGCTTCATGGTTGTTCGCTCTTAGAAAATGAACCAACTCTCGAGGTAATGCATATCTGCCAGCATAATGTAGAAATACAAAAATTTAACTGTAACCCATATCTTCCCCCTCACTAAGCATTAATACTCCTATGAAATAAGGTCAGCATTTATACTATAATTTCATTTTAGTAAGAGTTGCAAAGATCAGAGACATATATATTATTGAATCTGAAAGGCAGAAAAACAATAGGTTGAAATCACAGCAAGTTTCTCCATATTACAACCTGAAAAGAAGATATAGTAAAACCTCAAAGCATCTTATGTAATATATTGATAATCTACCATAAAAGACAATTTTGAAACAGTTATGATTATGCAATATATGCTTAGCCCTGAATCCATGACTTCTCAGTCCAGTAAAAGTATTTGGAAAACCTGGACTCAAGAGATAGTCACTTTTTGCACTTATTGAATAGATTTCTAAGCTGTGCAATCAATGAAGACAGTGATAAGTAAAGCAATACATTTTATTGCTCCTTTTGCCTCCATTTCTTTAAGCAAACCCTCAAAACTTTTATTTCCAAGGGAAAAGAGTCCAGGGATAAGCTTGAGCAATACTCACACTACACACAAAAGAAAATGTCCTTTGGTAAGTCTTCTTCTATCTACCATAACATCCACTTTCACGTTGTTGTATTTTATTTCATGCTTTTTTGACTGTCATCAATCAGAAGGACAATTCTATTCTTTGTTGGGTAACTGTTCTATGCTTCCAAGAGAGAAAAGTTCACTGAAATAGAAGCTGCAGCAGTTGAGAACCAGGTCACAGATATGAATGAGACAAAGTGAGAAATGGCTCTGAAGCTTAGCCAGCCAAGAAATACTAGATGCAGGTGATGCAGAACAGTCAGAGGACACAGTAAGAAGAATAAAGCTTCATACTCAAAATAGTAGAAAGATCAAAATGAAGAAAAACAAATATTTTTAAATAATTGAAATTTTTCTACTTTTAAAAACAATTAGTATACGATTTGCAAAAAAAAAAAAAAAAAAAAAAAAAAAAGTCTTCTGAATCATAACAGCAGTTCCAGAAAATCAGTTTGTGGGTAGCCATTAAAATTAGCACAGTAATGCTAATTCCCTTTCCAAATTTCTTTTCTCCCCTCTTTTTATGAAAAAATACAAGGAAAATGAGAGAAAGCCACACAGCATTATAAAGTCTGCTACTAGACTTAAAGTAAGAAGCATTCCAAAAGATTTCCAAAGAAAAATAAAATGGCAAGACATTTATTCTGTAATGGTATGCCCTCAATTTTTGGTTCTTTTTTCTACCTACAAAGTTAAAATTTTATGAGCTCCAGGAGTTCCAATTTGAAAATATACCTTGCACTAAAGACTAAAGAGACAAAAAATGTTTTTATTATAGTAATCCCTAAGAAAAAGATCCTATCCTTCCCCCATGTCAAACCAAAAAAACTAAGAATCACAACCTTGATTCCTCCTTTTCCCTTACCTCTTATTTTCTACCATCAAACTATCTCAGTTTTACTTCCAAAACACAAGTCATCTACACATCTCCACTGCCACTGGGCAATCCAAGCCATCTTCCATTTTTAGATTACTTCTATAATAGCCTCCTCCCCATTTCCACTCTTGTCCTCCTCTTAATCTCTACAAAGCAGCACACATGATCCTTTTAAGTTAAATCACAAGCCATTCTTCCATTAAAACCTTTACAAACTTCACATTTCACCCAAAATGAAATTCAAACTTTTCTCCATGATTCGCCATGATCTAGATCCTGCCTGATTCTGCAAGCTCGCTTCCTCTCCATTACAAATGCCAGATATACCTATCTTTTTGAGCCTTAAATAAGTCATGCTCTTACTTTACAGAGTTTACATTTTTTATTCTCTCTTCTTACACAGGAGAATTACTAGAAAGATCTCTCAACTCTTGAATTTTGGTGTTGTTTTTAGGACTTAAAGAACACATTGAGCCCAGCTGGTATGGCTCAATGGTTGAGCGCCAATCTGTGAACCAGGAGGTCATGGTTAGATTCCCACGCAGGGCACATGCCCAGGTTGCGAGCTCAATCCCCAGTAGGGGGTTGTGCATGAGGCAGCCGATCAATGGTTCTCTCTAATCACTGTTTCTATCTCTCTCCCTCTCCCTTTCTCTCTCTGAAATCAATAAAAACATATTTACAAACAAATAAATAAAATAGAAAGATTATCCTAGTGGGTCTAATATAATCTGTTAAATCCTTAAAAGCAGAGCTTTCTACACCCGAGGGCAGAATACAGCAGAAGAGTCAGAGAGATACAGCAGAAGTTGAATGAAGATTCTCCCCTAAGAGACCCTAGATAAGATCCCAGACCAGCTAATAACCTTGTCTTAGACCTGTAAGACCCTATACAGGGAACCAGTCAAGCCTTCTGTTCTCACCTGCACAACTGTAATACAACAAATGGGTGTTGCTTTAAGCCACTAAGTTTGTGGCAGCAATAGAAAATGAATACAAAGGCCATTCCCTGACCCCCACCTCCTCCCCAGATTGTTGGAGGGCCCCTGTTAATCCTCCCATAGCATTTGGCACTTCTTTTTCATAATATTCATCATACTTAGTACTTAATTTAATGTATGCTGTCTAAACTCTACAGTCAAAAATTTTGTATTTTTGTGTACCATACACCATTATAATCCAATGTCTATGCAGTTGGTACCCATAAAGGTGTATTGACTGAATGGACAAATTTTTTATTCAATTCTCAATCACATTACATCTTCTGTAGTGTACTAAATTATAAAATATTTCTATCATAAGGGCCAATTGTTTTATAGCAGTGATTAAAAAGAGGGGAAAACAAGTAGAATGAATGGAATATATTCAGAATCATTGGGGCAGTTTTTCTTTTTGTTTTACAAACCCTCCCTCACTTGCCACTACCCACAATTTGAAATGCCCATTCCATGCCCAATACACGTAGGGAAGATTGACCTCTATTAGAGAATCACAAAAGATTGCCAGAGTCTTTATTACTAATGTCACTGGGTCATATTCCTCAGGTATGTTGAACTATATGAAAAGGCTTAAAACATCATTTTACTTTTTTAAAGAAATATTTTTCAAAATGCAAAAACAACACATATTTATTCAATCTGAGACATTGCTTTTTTTCAAATTAAAAAAAGACTAAATATATTAAAACTGTCTAATCAGAAAGAGGAAAGGTCAACAAAAAGAACAATTTACTTACATCAATGGGAAAGTAAAAAATGGGAGTGTCATGGCAAGTCTTGCTGTAAGTTCATCGGGAAGATACCACAAGTATACAATTAAACATGTAAACAGATAGAGAATTGAGGAGTAAAGAATTAATCTTCCAACCCATAATTTTTGTAGTCTCTGATTTTTTTCCCTAAATTCTTCCAATGCTTGAATTTCCTGTTAAGAGAAAATTATTTTATACTATTTAATCTCAAATTTCCTAAACATGTTGACAAAAATTTTTCACGTGATAGAGATTATATAGAAAGAACTCTTAAATTTCAATGAAATAGAATACCTTAATATTTTAAAATAGAACATAATATGAAAAACTAAAATTAAAAATAAATAAAAATACCTATTCTGACAAATCACTTTTTTAAATGCAGTATTTTAAGATACCATTTTTAACCTATCAAAAATTGGAGGTTTGAAACTAGCATCAATAAATAGTATTAAATCAAATAGGAATTCTCCTGTATAAGGTCTATAAAATATTTGGCTATAAAAAGAATTAATAAATATTGAAACAGTGATCTATACTATATTTTTCAATCCATTCATCTCTCTCAGTATTCCCAAGAAATAGCCATTTTGAATAATCATAGAAAGCATAAAAAGCTGTGAAGTTTGCAGACTAATAAAAATTGTTGCAGACTATTTTATAATCTACTTTATCCACCTGTAACATTGATTTACACAATGCTGTACACATCTAATTCCATTAGAACAGGCTCTATTGCTTGGCACAATCTTAAATCAGTGATAGACTGGATTTTTTTGAGATTATGTAACATCAGAGTTTTCATGCTTACTCTCTATCATCTCTAAATTCCCATACCAGATCCAGTCTCCAAAATAATATATACTAAAATAGTATTTACATAATACCTAAAATGGATTTAAAACACCCCAGAGACAAAGAACTTACCTTATCTATATTTTCCAGAACTTCTACAGTTGAAGGTTTTGTCTGTTACAGAAACAGAAATGAGACACAGCATTAAAATTTGTTATTGCAAATTTAGAAACACCTTGATTTATATAATCATAAAAGAACACTTTAACCGAAAATTGTTTTTTCAAATGCTGTCAAAATATACATTTCCTGTTTATTTATAAATAAAATTTAGATTTAAATAAAAATTATAATTATAAACAAGACTATATAAATAAGATTAAATAAGCATTTTTCACTTAGCATCTTTTTAGCCCTAGAAGTACCTTTAACTGATAGCTCCATTTTTACCATTCTTAAACACAACAGAACATATTTTTATCAAGAGAAACAAATTTTCCTCCAAGAAAATTTTCTTAGATATTATTCAAAAAAAATCATATATTAAAAATTCAAGACTAAAATTAGTCTGATTTTCTATTGCTAAAACGTCAGTTAGGACTCTGGAGGTCTAAATCATTCTGAATTCCTAAAGTACTTCTCTGAAGATCAGATTTTAAAAAGGCATCTAAAAATACTTCATTAAAGCAGAGCTTGTGTGTTAAAGGTGTTTTTAATACCACCTAGAATAAAAACCAGCCAAAATGACTCATACAACACTTGAGAAAATGTTTACCAATTATATACTCAACAATCTAAGTGGGTAATGAATATCAATTCATTGTAGTTCCCACAAGAGTTGTTAACATTAGGTTGAACCATATGAAATTGCTATTTATTTAAGTCAAAGCTGTTGAAAAATTGGCAATTTCATATGGTCCAACCTAACACAAGAGACAAAAAAATAGATAAATTTGATCTTCTGTAAAAAGGTTTCTAAAGGAGGGCAGGGGTAAATTTAATGCCAATCCAAAACAGAGCAGTTCCAGCAATAGCTGAAAACTAAATTGTGTACCAAGTATTACTAGACTCCATTATTATGGTAAAAAGGAGTCTAAAATAAGCAAAGTAATTTTTCCTAGACCAGTGATGGAGAACCTTTTGAGCTCGGCGTGTCAGCATTTTGAAAAACCCTAACTTAACTCTGGTGCCGTGTCACATATAGAAATTTTTTGATATTTGCAACCATAGTAAAACAAAGATTTATATTTTTGATATTTATTTTTTATATTTAAATGCCATTTAACAAAGAAAAATCAACCAAAATAATGAGTTCGCGTGTCACCTCTGACACGCGTGTCATAGGTTCGCCATCACTGTCCTAGACTATATTACCTCCTCTTATATTAGAGAAGAATATTTATCAATGTATTTTATATTTTCTAGCTCTAAAGTTGAGCTATTTCCTCTAAAGAATTAACCAATTAAAATCAGACTGCATTTTTAAATCTGTTTAACCTATATTTCCTGAAAGTATATTTAGTGTGACTTCAGTAAATATTTGCAACAAGTTTTAAGCAAAGAAATATAACCTGTAAAAACGTAAGTACTGTATCAAATACTATTTTCAACTATCTTTCAAATAAGATTGAAATTTAGGTATTATGAGAAAAAAACAAGAAAAGATAACTACTCATACATGAATACATAGAGAAATAAAAACAATTCATAAGTCAGAATGAAATAATTGTTAAACAGAGACATTAGACACCTATATAGCAAGTAGAACTCTGAAGTCCAAATAAAAAACTAATTTGTAAGAGAAGAAAAATTAGAGTCAGGGATAATATCAAACTACTATTCAAGTCTACATCACAAATGAGACTCTCACAAATAACTTTATTGGACACTTTCATATCAGACTAAAAAACTGACTGTAAAGAAAAGTTAACTTACCCTCCATCGGGAAAATAATCCACCCATCTTTTAATTGTAGAAACTGGGCACAATGATAAATATCATCAATTGTCCAAAGAAATTCACAGCTAGAAATAAAACAAGCACTTAAAAAATTTAAGTTACAACACAGCCTATCCACTATAATTTAGATGTTGTAGTACTCCTTAAAAATACTATAGAAGATTAATTTCCTTGGACTCCACTTATGTGAAATTTTAATTTAGACAGTCTTGGGATAGAGTCCATCTTTTAAAAAATCCTTTCTTCCAAGCTAGGACATATTTAAAAGTGAAGATAAAGCTGAAAAAGCTTTTTAATGGCAAGGCATTTTAGAAGTGTATATTCTTACTACTTTGCAATTTTCTGTTCTTTAAAGTAAGTCCCCCGTATTGTTCTTGTCAGAAAAGTTTTAATCTATTATTTTCATTCTACATGACTAAACACAACTTTTTCTTTCAGCTGTCTCCAACTAGTTATTTGAAATTAAAGGTATTTTACAATGTTTAGAATAATATCACCTTACAAGTAATAATATAGAAATCCAACTGGATTTGAATTAGAAAACAAGGTTTTCAAGGCTACCTGTGACCTTGAGTAAATCATTTCATGTTTCTGAACCTTAATTTTCTTTTCTGTAAGTTAGAGTTAATGCTATCACTTTTCACAGAATAGCCTTCATTGTTACCATTTTACAAGTAAATTAAGTTAAAGAGGTTTAGTCCAAGTTAAGTTAAAGAGGTTTCTGTCCAATAGCTCAGAAAAAAACATGGCCAAAAGCCACTCTATCTTCAGAGTTCTCATCTGTTCACTACTGTTTAAAACCCAAATAAACATTTCTCTCTAAAACTGTATCTAAGTCCCCCTCAAGTTAGTTGATCTTCATGTCAGCTATCTGTATAGCCTCTTCATTTAGTTGTTTTTCTATTACTCTGAAATGTATTCTAATATTACCATATGCTTGAAAATGTATCAGCAATTATATTCTAAATCAATATACCAGTCAATAATTATACAATTTTTTATTCTTTTAAGTTGAACCAGTGAAAGTACACTTTCAAACTTATATATATTTTACCAGGTTATAGTTACATACTGCCAATGTATAAAACTATTTCATTTCCATAAAATAAAAAGTTAGGTCATGATTCTTAACACTTTTTAAACCATATATGTAATAAAAAAATAATAATAACGCCAGTACCAAATAAGTACTCCCTGCAACACTACTAATAGGCTAGAATTAGCATAAGCCATATCTATCTTGGACTTTTTTGGTTAAAGAAGTAACAAAGAGCCTAACTATAAAATACTTTCACTTACAGAATAATTTTTACAGACAGAAATAACTATAATCTCTCCCAAAATTTTTTGAAGTTTATAAATATAACGAATGTTATAAGCCATATTTAAGTTGCAATCTAAATATTATTAATCCTTCAATATTAACTCAATATTCAAATTTCTAAATGCAGTTGTAGGAAATCCAGGAACTTTAATGAAAGAAAGTATACATTTCTGAGTTAAGACATTAAATAGACCTTAAAACCTTCTTAAGATGCTAAAAAATAATCAAGAAAGATGACTGGGAAGGGGAGATTCAGATGAACAACTTTAAGTTGGTATTTTCAAAGTATACATCATCCCATTATTTTGAAACTAATGTAAGGTTATCTAGTTTTGTACACAACTGACCTACACATTTTGATTTGTAACAGACTTACATGCCAAGTTAAGTTTGTAGCCATCACAAATCAGAATTTTTAATATTTGAAAGTAATAACAACAATGATAGTATCAGTTAAACACTTGCTAAGCACTTACACTCTAGCAGGCCCTAAAATAAATGCTTTATTACATGAATGTTATCACTTAGATACTACTATTGCTCCATTGTATAAATGAGGAAACTGAGGCTAGGGAAGTGAAGTAATTTATTAAGGCCCCAAAGATATTAGAGCCAGACACATTTTAGTTTTGATTTTTTTAAAGCAACCAGTTAACACAAAATCAGAAATAAAGTCTAGTTTATATATGTGATTGAACTATCTATAATAATAAAAGGGTAATATGCTAATTAGACCAGATGTCTTCCTGAAGTCATTCCGGACATCCTTCCTAACCAAGCCGGGGCCAGAGGGAAGCCAGCCTGGGTCCTGGGTGCCTGTGGGCGGCCCGAGGGAAGCCAGCACAGGTCCCAGGTGCCTGCGGGCGGCCGGAGGAGGGCAGCAGCCAGGGTCCCAGGTGCCAGGGTCCTAGGTGCCAGCAGCCAGGGGAAGGAAGGCCTACTCTTGCATGAATTTTCGTGCATCGGGCCTCTAGTTTATATATAAAATACATGAAAGCACCTGTGCCATTCTCATATAGCTGGTAAAAGGAGATACTGAAGTGGAAAATAAGTTATAAACACAGGAGACAGTGTTAGTATAGTATATCATGTAGCCCAATTCCTTCATTTGATTAACTTTGAATGCATAAATCTGCGTGGAAGAGATGCTAATGGTTTGCCAAAATCATGCAACTCCAGCTAGAAGCAGAACTGACACTAGAAACCTGCAGGCACTTCCTTTGTTTATTGTATAGCACTTTTAAAGTAAGTATAATGTGAAATATATGCATAAAATTGTAATTAATACTGATTTTGACATCAATTATTTGCTTGGAGAATTGTTTTGGAATTAATGAAATAAACTATGGCTTAGCCTTCAAGATCCCTGAAGCAGAGGATTGTGCTTTTCAATTTGTCCTCTAAAACATTAGAGTAACAGTCATTAAATGCCATATCTATGCTTTTAGGCTCATAATCAAAAAACCAGTAAACCCTCATTATTCCAGCAATTTTCCTATCAATTTCTGGTATTTGTTAAAGAAGCTAACTTACTATAATGCACATGTAATGTTATAAAGATATAAAAGTATAACAAAGTTAAATAAATCAACTATTTCTCTATAGCTTTAATTTCATACCTCTTCTATTTTCAAACACTTTTTCCCTCCTTGCCACCCAAACATCTTAATTCCAATTCCTGTGACCCATTACTTACTATAAAACCTTGGGCAAATAGGTTACCCTCAGTTACTCAATATCTTCATCTTCAAAGGAGGGATAGTTAAGGACCCTCTTAAATGTTGAAAGGCTTAAATGACATCATGCCTTCAAAACGATTTATAACAGTGCCTGACCCATATTAATTTCTCAATACAAATTGTTGTTTTAACTGCTATGATCATTGCTGTTTTCTAGCCCATCTCTGCTTCCTTTCAACACATGGAAATTACATTGGGACCAAATAACTAGCATTTCTTTCTGAAGCATAAATCAATGTGCTTGTCCTTGAGTGGACAGATGGCTCAATTTCAAGTGGCTTATCCCCAAGAACTCTTCCATGAACATGTACAGAGAGTCTCTTTCCACTCTGATATCATAATGGGACTTGACATGACCTTACAAGCCAGGTGCATCTAATATGTTTTCAATGAATAATAATGCCCCCACAGTACATGCTGTTTTTTTCTATTAACTGCAATTCACACTCAGGTTTGGATGTCAAAATTTAAAATCTTGGGGCATATTATTTTTAGATTTTCAGCTCATTTCAAGTCATATTAAAATAATGGAGTAGAAAAAGTCTAGGTTCAAAATATGACTCAAGCACATACTAGCTATGTGATCTTGGGTAAATTAAATTCTAAGCCTCAGTTTCTGCATTTGTAAAGTGGCAAAAATATCTATACTTCACAGAATTATTGTATGAATTAAATGAAATTATATATCACTTGGTACAGTATCCAACAAATTTTAAGTGCATTGTAGCCACTGTCATTACTATTACCAGAAAACACATGTAGTACAGACAGTACCTCTAATATGAACACATTTCTTTCTAACTTCCTATAAAGAACCTGCTTCATAATTTTAAAATTGAAAAATAAAATTGCAGTTTGTTTTTACTGAAATTGTATTGCTCTCATCTTTAGTATAAAAAATAAAGCAAAATACTCTGCAGATTCTTCCATTAAAATAACATGTAGGCCTTTAAAAACAAAGGAAGTTTAGTGTTATGTTTATCAAGTTTAAAACTTAAGTAGAAACTACTCAATCACTACCAACAGTACCTCTATAAACAGTGTACTATTCAATTTAAGATTAAAAGTGGTCTGTTCCAAAACTCTAACTTTCGAGTACATAATTGAAAAGGCATTTCTGAAATATCCCAAACTGCCACATTTATTGCCTAAAAATAAAATTACTGAAAAGAAGTACATCTCCAAAAGCACTTTTACTAGATGATTATTACGTTCTGGTCTTCATGGTAGGTCAATGTTCATTCTGAACTAAACACTACCAAAAATGAGGATGTGATTAGAAAGTTTTTTTATATGAAGTTATGATAGCCAATAATGTCCTCCTCTTCTTATATCCTTTTCCAATTTAACAATACATAAACACTATATAAAATTCTAATTTTAAATGCATCACTCGTATTTTTTTTAAGTGTGTTCAAAATCAACTTGGTCCTCCTAAAACGGAACTGTGGGGACAGCTTAGGATAAGAGATGAGCATTCCCTGCCAGTTTGAACATAAGCCTGAAATCAACCTTATGCACATCCACACAAACCCCTGCAGAACAGGGTTAGTCTTGTCAGTGGTGACACCCAGGCCCCAGAGAAAGGAGAAAACAGTTGACACCAGGCATCACAAACCAGGAGCTCATTAGGAAAAGCCGACCATGGAAAAGTTGGTGAGTCACAGGTTTTACTTAGTCCGGCGAGGGAGCCGTCAGCAAAACGGAGTTCACCGGTCCCAACTCCCTCTCCATCCCCACACACAGCATTAAAGAATGAAAACTGTTGCTCTTCTGCCATGCTCACGACAGCTGAGCGCCCCTGCCGGTCCCCCCACCCCCTCCGGGGCCCACCATTCCTCAGATCAGGACAACCGCCGCACACCGGCTTCCCTAAACTGTACACAATCCACGCCCACACGCCGGGGCCGGGCCGCGTGACACTGACAGTTTTCGGTCCCTCCCGATCTGTCCGACTCCTGGCGCCTCCGGGCAACTCAGAAAGTCGGGGTCGGACACTGAACGCCACGGCGCGGTGGAGGGCCTTCTGACCCTCCGCCTCCACGCAGGTGGGCCGCAGAGCCGATGCTCGGCTCGCCTCAGCCCCCACCACGCCGGGTGCCCCGCCCCACCCCACCGCGGCCGCGAACAGGGCTGGGCACCACCGCCCTGGGGGGAAGGCAGGGGTCGCCCGCATTCCAGAACCGCCGCGGCCATTGTGCGGGGAAACCAAGGGCCCGGGCGGCGGGGCTGGGTCAGCGCGCAGCAGGGAGGGGGTTTGCCGGGCCGCCACCGCGGAGCGCTTTAGGCCACTCGGCAGGGGCGGGGGCTGCGGGGAGGGCGAGCGCGGGCACTCGGAGCGTGTTTCCCAGGAAAAAGCTCAGCGCGCCTTCCCGCTGCCAAGCCCTCCCAAGTGCCCTCATGGTCAGCGCTTTACCGTCAAGAAGCGGGCACAGCCCGGCGCTGGCGTCCGCCTCGGCCAGCTTCAGCCGCCACCGCGCAGCCCGCCTCCGGAGCAGGCAGCAGCCGCCACTGACAGAGACAGCGGCCCGGCCAACTCCTTCCCATCAAACCCCGCGCTCCCGCCGCCGGCCAATCGGCGCCGCGGCCGGCGCGCGCCGCGCCGTCACGTGACTGTGAGCGGGCGGGCCTTTGGGGAGGGAGGGCGAGCGGGCGGCTGTCCTGAGCGCGCCGCCCCCGGTGACTTCACAGCCAAAGCGGGTGCCGGTCGTCGCGACCCGGAGGTGGGATGCTATGGATTTTGACTCTGACCGATACAGTTAGTTCTCCCTCTCCCTCTGCCTCCTCCTCTGCCTCTAAAGCCCGTTCTGCAGATCTCCTCGGAGAAAGAAAACGCCCGAAATTGGAGTCTAGGACCATCACGAGCGAGGAGTGGGGTTGAAGGTGGAGGTGGGTGCGGATGGAAGGTTCTCCTCCCTGAAGAGTCCCCCCTTGGTCGCCGTCACCCAGCGGGTAGCAGAGCAAGTTAGTGCTACACGTCATAGAAGGGACCAGCTCCCCCCCACCCCCCAAAAAAAATCGGTGAGAAAACAGCCAGGAGAGCCTGCGGCTCCTACCACCAACGACGTCAAGGAGTCACTTGATAACTGCACGCTCACCTCACCGTGCGTGGTGAGCTTCCGATGCCAAGTGAGGCTGATTCCAAAATGGAGATAACAACATGAGCCGAGTTTTCTTTCTTGAAACCTCAAAAACACTCCCTTCAAAGGTCCACCTGACACCTGGGCCCAACAACGTAACCTCCCAGCCCCCATTGCCTGGCGAGCATTCAGTTCTAAGTAACTACTAGATACGTGGACCACACCAGGTAGCACGGAGAAGGGTAGAGAACCCGCAGCAAAAGCCGTTGTCGTGTGTCACCTACCCCTGTGGCATGTGTTTCGGACCCCGTGCTCACACACGTGCGTGGGATTGTTCTATTGGTTACACGTTCTAAGGTTAAAAAGTGGCGCTGATTTTTAGAGTGTAAATTTTTTTTTTAATATGCAAACAAGAAAAGCAACTGAACGTGGTATCTACATAGTAAGAATAATTTATTTCGGAAGCTACCAGATAATCCTCTGGGGAGTTCCTTGTCCTCGCTGCTAAAAATCTCTAGTAACAGGATGAAGGAAAGGGAACCAAAGTTTGCTTGTTGTGTACGCTGGGTCAGGCACTTGATAAATCCAGAAGAAAAGGAAAGCCGTTCACCTAGTTTAATATAGAAAGTAAGCATTTTGTTTTTCAACCCTCGCTATTTCAACATGTGGTTGTTTTTTTTAAAGGCCTGTGCTGTTAGGCAAATACTGCATCTCCCCTCAGGAAGATCTCTTTTTCTAAAAGAAAAGGTAGGGAATGTTTTCCGCTTGCTAAGGATTTATTCTCTAGTTTTAATTGAGCCATCAGAGAGTCGATTTGCAAAGGGGAAAGAAACAGGAAGTGGGAAACAGAAGAGTTAGCTGGATGAGATTCCAGAAACCTAATCCAGCCACAAAATTCTCTAGGTAATTGCTCTAGAAGAGCAGAGAATTGGCCTGGCAAGGAGAGGGAGAGAAGTACTGAGTCATTATTTTAATCCTCCCCACCAATTTTTAAGGTATCCTTTTGCAAATGAGGAAACAAAAGTAGATTTTATTGTTGAAGGTAACACTGTACCCACGGCCTCCTTTCTATCAAGTGGTAAGAGTGTTAGGCACAGTGAAGGAAGACGTTACCAGCTGACAAATGGACATGTGCACTATATGGCTGGACTACAAGCTGCGAGGGTCCTTCTAAATATTGAGGACAAGACCTTGTGTTAAGTGCTGAGGACACTGAGATAAATAAAGCAGCTGCCCTGAAGCAACTGACACTAGTGAAAGAAACCTTCAAGAAAACAACAACAAACTAAGTACTGTGATGGAGACAAATGTTCAAAGGTTCAGAAATAATAAGCCAGAGGTTATGTGGGAAAGCCAATGAAAGTGGTGCTTAGTTGAGTCCAAATATTAGAGTTATTTCCTCCTAATTCTAAAATTATACTGCGCTAGATTCTCAGGAAGTGAAATTGCAAGAGCACCAGAAAAGATGAGACAGGAAACTATTCTAGCCAAAGGAATTCTAAAAGGTCTAATTAAGTGAGCCACATGTATTTAGAGAAATAAATGAAAGTTGCAAGAGATAAGTGCTACGGGGCTTACAGTGGGGTCATTCATTGGCCTGGTCAAAACGTTTAGGAAAGGCCTCTTTGAGGCAGTCACTCTGGAATGGAGATCTAAAGAATGAAAAACTGAAGGAAGCAGAACATCTTATGTAACGGCATCTTGTCAGGAAGGAACATTATAAGCCTGATTGATTGAAAGTAGGCCATGGTGGCCTAGTAGGCCATCGGTTGCAGGGAGAGGGTGCTACAGTGTGAAGCACTAAGACCACACTAAGCAAGGCCTCACTGGCCATACTGAGACCCTTCATCATTTTCTTGAGAACAAATGGGGAGGGAATTTGATCTGATCAGAACTGTGTTTTGAAAAGATCATTCCAGCTGCAATGTGAGAATATGAACAGGGCCAGCAATGGACCAATTAGGATTTATGATGGTGGTTAGTGTTGGTAGTAGTCAAGTGGATTGGGGTGGGAACAAGGAGATGAAGACAAGTGGGGGCATGGATGGAAAAAAAAGGCCACATGCTAACCTGACTAGTTCAGGGAAGGCCTGCATGGCAGTTTTGCAAACTCAAAGACCTAAAGTAACCACAAAGGATAGTCTGAAATTAAAAATTTAACTAAAAGCAGTTTATAGTGGGTAGCCATTTCCTAGGCCACTATTTTCCCTGACAATGATCAACTTCAACCTTTACTGAGCCTATTGTCTTTCTGCATCTAAGATAGCATACCTGTGAAATGTCTGGGTAACTTGTAATTTCCCTTTTTCAAGACCCTTTAGGGCACAACACATGGCACCAGGGCTGGAGACCACAAATTCCCCCCATTGTTATTGTTATCATGTTAATTGTCAACTGTTAACTATCCTGTATCCACCTATGGAAAAGAGTATCCACCTATGGAAAAGAGTATCCACCTATGGAAAAGAGTATCCACCTATGGAAAAGAAGCATGTGTGCATCACTTCACTTTTTATCCAATCCCAGAGGTTTCCCCGCTTTGCTTTCTCCAATCTCCCTAATCTATCACCAATGGATTTCTTGTAACCCACTTATGGCTCCTCCTTTGATGGTAATTTATAAAAACAAGGTAAAAACCTGCCATTCTCCGGAGCATTATCCCAACACGTTGAGGTTTTGCTTCCCAGCAATTGTTGACAGTTTGGCTCAAATAAACACAAAAATTTTTTACAGGTTTGAATGGTTGTTTTTGTTTGTTTGTTTTACGTTAACGGGGAAATGGAACAATTTAGGAAAGAAAATGTTAGCTTTTGATGATGAATTTAGATTTGGTGGGGCTGAATGGGGATTGAAGGAGAGGGAGGAGTCAGAGATGACAGGATTTCTGTCAGGCACAGTGAGTGGATAGTAATGCTACTATCACTAAGATGTGGGAACACTGAAATAGAGTTGGGTTTGGGGGAAGGGGGTGATTTCAATTTGAACACATTGAGTTTAAGATGTTTTTGTGACTGCAAGGAGAGATGCCACGTAAACAGATTATGAATCTTCAGCCCTGAGGGGAAATCTGGACTGGAGAAAAAATATATAGTTTGTAATCTGTTCTTTTCTATGAGGTACTTATTTTTTTTCAAAATGCAATTATTATAAACAGATGTTTTTAAGTACATTGCAGAAAAACAGAAAATAAAAAGTAGTCTCGAGCAGTTTCCCAAGCTTCCCTGTGAATCACCTGGGGTCTTTGTTTAAAAAAGTAAACTCTCAGACCCTTCTCTGGAAATTCTGATTCTACGTGTCTGGTATGGGGCTCATAAATTCGGATTTTTAACAAGTGCTGATGGGCGTTTCCCTGGGCAATGGTACTCCAGTACCAGAGGCCACCTGTATAAGAGTTACCCACAGTGCTTACTAAAATACAGATTCTTGGGCCCCGCAGACTAAAATCTCTAGGGCTATAACAGAAGGGAGGAATGGAAAGAGGAAGATTGTACAGTACCACAACTTCACCCTCCATCTTTGACAGAGGCATCTTAGGCTTACTATCAGGAAGTTCGGAGGAAAGCTAGTGTCCTTTGCTGGATGATGCATATGTAGGCAGTAGGCAGACCTCAAAAGCTCCTCTGATAACAGCTTTCCTGGCTTCTAGCCCAAGCCTCCTTTCCTGTCCACTGAAATGGCACTCAGCCCACTCTGATGCTGTTTTTCCACTCTCCCATCAAATCTATCCTTCCCTCCCTGGCTTCCCAATCTTCTTCAGTGGTATGTTCCATATACTCCTCCCAGTTTAGTACTTTTTTAGCTAATCTGACCAGGGCTGGGAGGGAAATAAGGTCAAATGCTATGTTTCACTCTCGGCAAAGCTTCTTTTTTTGGTGATGTTGAGAACCTACTTTGGAAGTGTTTTTGTTTTTAAAGACTGAACTGTGTGTTTTCTTTGTAGTCTTGCTATAACAACTCTAAGTCTCTATGCTTCTAACTAGAGAACGAATCAGGAAGAATGGGAGAAAAAGATTAGAATTATTTTTTGTGATTGTTAGTATAGCAAACACAGAGAAAAGTCCATAAAACAGGAGTGTGCTACTTAAAGACTACAACTTAAATACTCATGTATCTCCACTGGGTCAAAAAGTAGAACATTACCAACATCCCAAAAGGTCCCAATGTGCCCCTTCACTTATAAACCCCAAGTGCCCAGAAATAACCACTATAATGATTATCAAATTATTTACATTCTTTGTAGTTTTACTGCCTAATTGCTCATTTTTAAACAATATAGTTTATGCCTGTTTTTTTTAACTCTACGTAAATGGAATTATAGAGTAAGTTTTTTATACATATTAAAATTCTTTAATCATTATTATGCCTTTAAGATTCAACCATGGGATGTGGTTGTGGTTTATTCGTCTTCATTGCTTAGATTACTATATTGCATGGATACACCATAATTTACTTATCTACTCTATTATTGATG